ATTTCTTGGTTTTTTTTTCTTTGAAAATATTTCATTTCTCTTCCCAGAAGCTTCTTCAGTTCTGAATTGAACTTCAGTTCTAGAACTGAAGAAACTACTGGGATGAGAAGTGAAATGTTTTCAAGGACAAAAAAAACCAAGAAAGCCCAGTTGCCTTTTGAAAAAAGCACCTTTGGGACAAGTGATCAATAGTTTGCTAAATGTTTCATTAACAATGCAGTTTTTATGGGAGAAATGACTATTTTAGCTCTAGCTTAATGAAAACATATTCATACAAATGGATAAATGGCAAGAGAAAGTTTTATACAGAAGCTTATTTTACTCCTCCTTTGTTAAATTAAGAGAATTTCTAGATAGATGGTTTATAGTGCCATCACTAGGAGACATCTAGGAGCATAATTCCAACACCCTCTATTTAAATATATTTCTTGTGTAAATTTAAAAAAGGTGGAATTAATGGTAGGTAACGTAAGAAGGTTGAAAAGGCAAGTTTTACCCTCTTCAGGCAAGCAATTGTGCAAGAAAACCAGAGCTGGTTTTGATTGTTCAGTACCAAAATGGTGTATCCAATAAAGTTTCACTTTCGGGAATTCAAAGCTCCCGAGAATATTTCCTTGTTTTGGATTCACTAGTTGGACAGTTGACAATCTTTCTCTGTCTAAAATTATTTAAAATAGGTAGGGAACAAAATGTTAAATTCTTGAGTATGAAAAAAGTCTTTGAAGTCAATCTCTACCCTTGACTTCTCAAAATCTCTTTCTCACAAATAATAGCTCGTCCCAGCCACGCTCATATTGTTTTCTTGAAATCTGTAGACTTCAGGACTTGATCTGGAGATTTTTACTCATTGATCTTTACTGTAAATTTGTTCCTTTGTATGTTGTTTTAGAAATGAAGATGACAAGTGGCTTTGCTAATAACACTGACTTTAATATAAGTTGCGTGCTTCTCACAAATCAGTTATGTGGTATAAGAAAAATTAAGTCCAAAAATGTGGTTTCAGCTTAGGTGTACACAGTCAACTCTTCTTGTTTGTGGGAAAATAACAAACGACTGAGAGGAACCAAGAACGAAGAAAAGACAAATAAACTAAATACTAACTCCAGCTATTGTTTATATAGGGCAGTCTGTCTAATATTTGGAATTCTGTAAAAGTCTTCCAATTTTATCATTTTCAGCAGCAGGTTGTAGTAAGGTATCAGACTTACAAAGTCTTATTTGAAGAAAGATATAGTCTTGTTTCATCCGTCCATTTTTTTAAAACAAATGTTGCTTTATTTTGTGTTTTTTTTTGTTTCTAGGCATTGACTTTTACACTATTCATTAAATGTTATGGCCTTTGAAGGCAAAATGCCAATCCGTTAAATAAAAATTAGCTTAAGTCAGCTTACCGAATTTCATAATTGTTCAGTTGCTTGATTGCATTCTTTGCCTCTTGTTTGTTGCAGAATGTCACAAAAGCATATCCCCTGTTATTTCCACTGAAATCCATCATCATCCGCATCTCATAGATTTTACCAAACTAGAAAAGTCAAGCACAAAATTCCATAGTTTTTTTTTTTTTAAAGAAAAGGAATTATTACCTGCATTATAGTTTATCAAGGTCTTTTGTCCTTACAATTCTGACTCTATGCCTGTTTCATTACCTGTTAGGGCAGGTTACCTTACAATAGACTTTATTTGAGATCTATTTTATTTGAGATCTATTTTCTGACCCACGTATAACATTTGAAACAAACAATAAAACAAATCCAAGAGGCATATACTGAAACTCCAGGAAGTTAGTAAAAACCTTTATTAACCCATTCCAATAATAATAGACTTGTTTCAGGAAATCTCTGTGTTTCTTAAACTTTTTTCCTCTCACGCCTCTTTCCCACTTTTAAAAATTACAAAGGACCCCAAAAGAACTTTTTTTTTTTTGGTATGGGATGTATTATTTGATATTTATCATATTAAAAATTAAAACGAACACATTTGCTGCTGCTACTATTTATCTTGGTTGGTAATATGGTATTATTTTTCTATGGCAAATAATTTTGATTTTTGAGGGCTCCTGAAAGAATGGGGAGACCTCCCTACCATAAGAAACACTGATTTAAATTTGTCATATTATCTTGAATCAATATGTTTCTTCTTGTTTTTTAATGTAAATTGTAATGATAAATGTTAAAAATCAATACTAAATTTTGATTATGAATATATTATAAAATGTATGGTTAATATTGTTACAGTGAATTGTTTGCATTGAGAAAAATACTTCAGGACAATAATAGCAGAAAAATAGCTCCCTAGTCAATGCAGTACAAATATGAAATTTTTTGGGTATTTCCACATTAACAACTAAAACTCCCCATTAAATAGTCCATGTAAAGTTGGTTATGAATGAATTGAAATATATGCCTAAGTAAAATAGACAGGTGGCTGCTTTTGTATATATAGACTACGCTGAGACATTGAGGATACTCTGAAGAGCAATTTTCTCAGAATTGTTATGTTCCAGATATGTTTGCTTTCAGTTCCAATCAATCAGAACAGAGCTGGAAGTAGAGGTAGTATTCAGCAGGTTCTGACCAGTTCTGGAGAAGCAGAAATTTTGAGTAGTTCTGGAGAACCATCAAATACCACCTCTGATTGGCCCTGCCCTCATCTATTCTCTGCCTCCTGAGTCCCAGCTGATTGGCTGGGTTTTCTTTTGTTGCCCTGCACAAGAGAACGGAGCTGGAAAGCAGGTTAGTGGGGTGGGGAGGGAATGGGATTTTACATATCCTTCCCCTGCCCACCAAGCCATACCCACAGAACCGATAGTAACCATTTTTGAATCCCACTACTGGCTGGAAGGGACCTTGGAGGTCTTCTAGTCCAACCTCCTGCTCAAGCAGGATATCCTATACCCTTTCAGATGGGTGGCTGTCCAGTCTTTTCTTAAAAAACTCCAGTGATGGAGCATCCACAGCTTCTGAAGGCAAGCCGTTCCACTGGTTAATTATCCTCATCATTAGGAAATTTCTCCTTCGTTCTAGCTTGCTTCTCTCCTTGATTAGTTTCCATCCTTTGTTTCTTGTCTTGCCTTCTGGTGCTTTGGTGCTTCCCCATATTCCCCAGCCAGCAGTGGCCGGTGGCCATGGTGATTAAAGTTATTGGGGTGGAAGTTCAAGACAGGGGGGAAGAGACAGATGGAATATTGACCTCACAGGCTATGAAGATATGGCTAGTCAATTTTTTGCCTTACACACAAGGATGGACCTGATAGATCTTTTGATCCACACTATATGTATGCAAGCCTTCTGTCCATTGCCACCAAGTGAGGGGTTTCTGTTGTTTGTGATCCAAGCCTTTGCTTATATTCTTGATGCCTAAATCTAAATAACTTCTAGATGGCACCAAGTAGATTCAAACTCTTAACATTTTGCTGTCATCTAATGGTCACAGAGATGATTGCAGCTCAGCTTGGTAGCCCTGATTATAACTCTTCTTTTCAAGGTTTAGGAATGCTTCCAATCCTAAAGACAGCCAGAGTTTTGATTAGAGCAAAGCTCTAGCAACAGCAGGCAATATAATAATACAGATCAACCATCTCTAGTGACCACCCTACAAACACACTCCTATCAAATTATGAACCAGAGGCAACCAACAGCTACAAACTAGGAAAGTTTTTCCATGTCCTAGAATGTGCAAAGTTGTTCCGGATATTAAAAGGCAGTTGGACACATGGTCCCTGTGTCCAAAATGATGCAGTTGCAATGTTTCTGCTTAGCCTTCTTTTTGTTTTCACTCCATTTTCCTTCCTTCCCAGTTTTCCATTTTGCTCCCAAACAACATTAAGATTGAATTTCATTCTTATCAAGATGCTCAGACCACCATACTCTTAGCTTACTTCAGTCTTTGGAAGGGGACGGGGTGTAATTTTTCCCCCTCAGAATTCCTCCTACATTAGGGGTGTCAAATTGGATTTCTTCAAGGGTTGGATCAGCATTGTAGTTCTTCTCCATGGACTGGGGGTTGGGGGGGAGGAGTGGAGCAGGGGAAAGACAGGACAGATGCCTCCTGCAGCACCCTGCCAGCCAAAATGGTGCTGCAGGAGGCCGTGGAGGCCAAAAACAGGCCATGTGGAGATCATGCGCGGCCCTCCCATAGCCCATTTTGGCTGGCAGAGGCACTGTGGGCCAGTCCTTTGATAGTTCCAGGCTGGCCCCGTGGGCCATATCTAACCACCTCGCGGGCCGGATCTGGGTTTGATGCCCCTGTCCTATATTGTAAATATCATCCTGTGAGTTACTGCTGCTATTTTGATTCCATTAAATCGGGCATGGGATAATGTAAAGAGCTGTTTCGTTTTATGAGACTAAGACTGATGATACTGATACAGGTAGGCCTCGACTTACAACAGTTCATTTGGTGGCCGTTCAAAGTTACAGTGGCACTGAAAATATGACTTATAGCTGTTCAGCAGTTATGACCTTTGTAGCATCCCCATAATCATGTGATCAAAATTCAGGTGTTCATTTTTTCGACTGTTTCTGCATCCCAAGGTCATTTGATCCCCTTTTGTGACCTTCTGACAAGCAAAGTCAATGGGGATGCCGGATTCACTTTCACAACCGGGTTGCTAACTTAGCAACTGCAGTGATTCACTGAACAACTGAGGCAAGAAAGGTGGCAAAATGGGGCAATACTCATTTGACAAATGTCTTGCTTAGCAACTGAAATTTTAGGCTCCACTGTGGTCGTAAGTCTGACCTGTAAGTACCTTATAACATGCAGATCTTACTCTCTCCTTCTCTCACAAGACTGCAATCTCAATCATGCTAATCAATTAAAAATATATTGCACAGTTTTCAAAGGCTTGTGATCTTTCCTCCATGGACATTTGATCACTGTTGATTTTTATCTTTTTCCTCCTTGCTTTTGACCCCTGACATCAAAATTTCCTTTGTAATTGTTGCTGTTGCAAAATTTTTTACAGATGTGAGTGGCAGCAGTGATGCAAATGAAAGTTGTAAGAATGTTCTTTCAGAACAGAGTTAAAAGAGTACATAATTTCAGAGCCTGTAGCATTGAAATCAATTGCAGGACATGCAAGGAAGAATCATATATGAGATACTCAGTCCAAGCAGTGACTGGAGCTGGAACTGTGGCAAATCTACTAATGGAATAATGATATTTTTTCTGAAGAAGACTTTTTGAAAGCTCACGATTCCAAGGAAAATCTATACTTATATACTTCTTTATTCACGGAAGAATAGTCTAATTTTAAAAAATAAAGCCAAGCAAGGAAACATTGGTAAAACAAAAAAGTCACCAATTGCAAATGAAATATATATTCTACAGTAGAGTTGCAAATTTTGTGTAAGCTTGGAATGCAGTGGTGGGATTCAAATTTTTTTACTATGGGTTCTGTGGGCGTGGTTTGGTGGGATTGGCATGGCTTGGTTGATGTGGCTTGATGGGTGTGGCACGGGAAGGATACTTGTAAAATCCCCATTCCCTCCCCACCCCACTAACCTGATTTCCAGCTCCGTTCTCCTGTGCAGGGCAACCAAAGAAGACCCAGCCAATCAGCTGGGACTCGGGAGGCAGAGAATAGATGGGGACGGGGCCAGTCAGAGGTGGTATTTGCCGGTCTCCGAACTACTCAAAATTTCTGCTTCTCCAGAACTGGTCAGAACCTGATGAATACCACCTCTGTTGGAATGCATTCCATTGAACACAAGGGTGTTGGCTTGTAGGTTCATCTTGTAAAATACACTAAGGGATAGTAAATATCTTCAGTCTTTAGCTTTTAAATATGTTACAATTTAAATTGATAGGCTAAAGGAGAAACATCAAAAGAAATAAAAAAGGAATGTCAATGTCTTCTTGGAAATGAAGAATCTTCCCCATATGAATTTACAGATAAATGTACTGAGTTTTGAAAACATTTTCTGGATATAAGAATTCCACATTAGATATCAAGTATCCTGGGTGTTGTTTCCATTCTGACAGCATTTATCTTACACAGAAGAGTGAGGTTTAAAAACACCAATTTCCCAGGGCCTACAGAAACCCTCTTTATATAACTTATTATATGTAAGGTAAATTATATGAGAAATATCACATAGGATAAAAGTACCAAAATAATTAATAAATCCAGGAGATAGATGACTGTTCTACAAGTGGTCTTTGACTTACAACCATTCATTTAGTGTCCATTCAAAGTTACAATGACACTGAAAAAACCCGACTCTTGCAGCCTTTCTGTGGTCATACAATCAAAATTTGGATGCTTGGCAATTGGCACATATTTATGATGGTTGCAGTGTCCCAGGGTCATGTGATCACTATACTTGTTACAAAGGATCCCAAAATTATGGATTTTTAGTTATTTCTGATATGTTTCCTTAGTTGGATCTGCTTTGGTGCGCACCATTTTAGTTAGGAATTACCAGTTTCTAAATAGATGTGGATTAGTCATTGTAATATTTTAACCACTTCAAGAGTTTCTAAAAGGCTTTGGGGAATATAGCAGTGATGATATTCAATTTTCTTTTACTACCGGTTCTGTGGGTGTGGCTTGGTGGGCGTGTCAGGGGAAGGATACTGTAAAATCTCCAGTCAGAGCTGGTATTTGCCGTTTCTCTGAACTACTCAAAATTTCTGCTACCGGTTCACCAGAACTGGTCAGAACTTGCTGAATACCACCTCTGAAATATAGGTAAGTTACAAAATAGTAGACATCTTTGTCTAAGAACAGCACTACACCCTGTGTCATCTTGAAGATTATTATGTCTCCAGAACAATATTTAGAAATGATAGAGGCAGCCACAAAGATATTTGAGTCCATGTGTAATCTATAAAAGTGATTTTACAAGTAGCCCTTGTAAAATCACTTTTATAGATTACACATGGACTTACAAAACAGGATGCCTAACTGGGAATTGCAAATTGGCTACCTCCAGTCAATATTTAAATTGGGTTATATTTTGTGCAATTATTAAAAGTGAATGAGACAGAGACAGAGCAGGGCTGTGTCAACAATGGATAAATTGAAGGATAAGATTTACACCTGGCAACCAACTGCTCTGGAGAGCCCAACAAAGGTTTGACTATGAGCTATGAGATGTTAGAAAATGTAACATCTGAGTTGCTGTGGTAGACTCTCTGTCTAACATGCAGTGCTGTTCTAGAAAAAAATATATATCCGGAGAAATGTGTCGCATCCACACATCCACAAAAATACATTCATGATCTCCAATTTCTCCTGTTAAATCCAGGCACCGCACAGAAATGTTACTTGTTTTAGATACGAGTCCTGCCAATAACATCATTCCTTTGAATATACACAAAAGAAAAGAAAACCTACTAAATGATATCATTACTTTTTCACATAATGGAATGAGTTCATCTTCAAAGAGATCTCGGGGAAGTTTTCCAATGAAGATCTCACAGCCTCGTTCTGGTGGCAGCCCATTCCAATCTGGTGGTGGCCCTCCATATTTTCGTTGACCGTTTTCCTTAATGAAAGAAGAACAAAATTTGGAATTGTATGAATTTCAACATTGCTTATATCCCTAGTCATATTACTGAATTGTCTTCCTGTAGTTATATCTTTTTCACTTAAACTTTATCCTCTTTTTATTTGCTCCTGGTCCTGTCTTGACTCCATTAGATCTGTTTTAGAACCTCTGTTTACATCTCAGGTGATTAAGGAACTTACCTAGTCATAAGGAAAGAGAATATAAAGATGACTGGAATTGTGCAAGAATGAAGAGGAACTTGGTTCATTTTGTATTTCATTGTCTCATTTAAATTGCAAATATATACTTTCTGCATCATGATAAATTAAATGTGTGTGTGTGTGCATGTTTGTGTCTCTCTGTGTGTATATTTGCACCTCATTATGTTAGGTTGCAATGCATTATTAGAGGAAGCTGCCTAGAAATCTAGGTGTGTTATGTAAAAAGCATAGTCTAAGGAAATATATAAGCCCATGCATACAATATATTTAGGAAAAAAGTGCATGAGAACAGTTCATGGAAACACTCTGGCCACAAGATCATCAAAATGGAAACCACTGGCACTGGAAAATCCACGTAGCATCTGATCCTCCTTAAGAAACAAAAGATATTAGGGAAGAACTTCTAGTGAAAGCCATTGGGAAGTGCAGTGGACATCCATCTCCTTGTTTTACTTTCAAATTAGCAACCTAAAAGTTGTTTTTATGTGACAGGGAAGTTCCTACCTGAATCAAACTATATCCTGTGCGCTGAATTAAAGTGCGTAGGGCAGCTTCTTTCTGCGTGCCGGTCAATCCATCCCCGGATTTTTTATTTGATTCCATTGTGTGTGATTACCACCAAAAAATCAGGTTAATTAGGAGTACTCACTGCAATCAAATTTAAGATAAATTAAGTAAATTAAAATAGTTCTGTAAAGGAAATTTCCATCACAGTAACGAGGAAGGTCTTTGTAGAAATCACTCAGAGTAATTAGAAAACAGAACTGGAAATCCAACACCTTCAGAAAGGACAGAGAATCAGGCTAAGAGTTGTCTTATTCCAGAAGATTTGTGAGGACTTTGAGGCAAGAAATTGTTCAGATGTCCACGCCAAAATAATGTATAAAGCAAGCGGCCTCCAACCTTTTGGGCAACAGGGACTGATTCTGTGGAGAGAGTTTTTTCCCCAGACCAGAGGGGGCATGGTTTTATGTGCTGCCTGCATCCAGCAGATGTGGCTTCACTTGTTTGCACGCCTAGTCTCTGGCATGCCACATCCCAGTGCTGGTCCAGGGACCAGGAGTTGGGAACCCTTGGTATAAAGCTTTCGTGTAAAGCAATGCCTGGCTTTAGCTAGGTGTTTGAAATGGCCTGTATTCCTTTAAACCAGGGATGTCAAACTCAAGGCCTGGGGGCCGGATCCAGCTTGTGGGGTGCTTACAGTGGTGGGATTCTACAGGTTTGCACCTATTCTCTAGAACTGGTTGTTAACATTCTAAGCAGTTCGGAGAACCGGTTGTTAGAAGAAATTATTGGCCTAATCCTGTAAGGAGGGCAGGAAGGAAACATTCTGGTGTTGCTTACAGAAACTGCGTCTCCGTTAACTCTTATTTACATTCTTGACAGGACTAGACTTCCTGTCTCTGGAACTTCTCTGGAGGTTTTTTTCCTCCTTTGCTGGTACTTTGCCTGTGTTGAGTGAACATTCAAAGTTACAATGGCACTGTAAAAAGTGACTTATGACCATTTTTCACACTTACGAATGTTGCAGCATCTCTACAGTCATGAGAGGCCAGGCAAGGAGATGCGTGCCTCAATGGGAGTGATGTTGAGTTGGCTGTGCCCAGCCAGTCACATGACCACTAAGCCACGCCCACCAACTAAGCCACGCCCACAGAACCAATTGTTAAAAAATTTGAATCCCACCCCTGGGTGCTTAGATCTGGCCTGCAGGGCTGCTCTGGAAACAGCAAAGGACTGGCCCACGGTGCCTCTGCCAGCAAAAACGGAGCTCAGGAGGACCACAGATGGCCCTCCCGAATTCTGTTTTCACTGGCAGAGGGTTGCAGGAAGCTGTCGCAGCTGAAAACGGAGCTCGGGAGTCTGTTTTCACTGGCAGAGTGCTCAGGCCATCACAGGTGTCCCTGACATGAGTGATGTCAAACTGGCCATGCCCTCCCTGACCACATCCACTCTGGCCTCCCAAGATCAAATACAACCCTGATGCAGCCCTCAATGAATGAATTTGACAGCCCTGTTTTAAATGATTTTCAAACATCCTGAGTGAAACTTATCACTCTTTTGTGGACAATGTTTCTTACCCACTTCAATATTATGGATCACTGTACTTAACCAGACCCTTTTTTTCCTTCAAGGTAGTCTAGAAAAGAAGCACAAACCATGAATACTAATGCCATCTTTATCGTAAAATTACAGTAACGGAATCTTGCAAGTCTGAAATCATTTCTCCCCCTCCCTTTACTTTACTCTCCAAAAAACTAGGGAGAGTTTCTTCTGAGATGCTTCCCATGTCCCTTTTTCTTTTGTAGGCTGTGGTGTCTTTTGTGGGACAGCCTCTTCCCCTATCTCTCAAGGTTATTCTCACAGACCACTATTGACCCCAAGCCTCTTTTTCTGTTGCAGGCCTAAACATTGACCAAGTAAACAGTATCATCATTATTCACCTGGACGGAAGAATGAAAAATTATGGTTATGAGATCTATCAAAATGTAGACACCAGGAATTAAGCTTGACTTCACAGATACTCCAAATGTATGGGAACTTCATTTCAAGCCATTTCACTTGCTGCACACTTAAACACGATATTTAAAAAGTACCTTAAATTATCTAACACATGTATGAAATACCCCTTATTTTTTAAATATTTAGATAGTTGCTGAGGAAAGGATTTCTATTCTAATACCCATGGAAGAACTGACTGCACAAAAAACAAATCTACACTTTCAGTTCAGGTCATCTTCAGAAATTCAGTGAATATATAAAATGAGAAGGGGATTTCTACTCAATGTTTTCCTTATACACATTTTTCTTAAGTGTTCTTTAATTGTCACACGAATTTACTTTTTTTGCGAGTAATGTTGTTTGCCTCTATGTAGGTTCTCCCATCCTTATTTTAAAATAGGCCTTTTAAATTTTGCAGCCGAAACATACAAGAAACTCTAGGAGTAGAAAATGAAGTTAGATTGGCACTCTGATCACTACCAAACTGGAAGGCTACACAAATGGACAGGAATATGGAAAGCAACAAAAGAAGTGCAGATTCTACTTGAATATGCCTGCAAATCTGGACAGACATATTAGCCAACAAGTTGGAAGAGTCTACTTACCAATACCAAAGGTAGTTGGTAACAGAGTGTGAAAACACTTAACAGAGTGTGAAAACTATTGTCCAGTATCCTTAATGTCACACGCTAGCAAAAACTTGTTAGATCATCCAAAACAGGTTAGAAACCTGCATGGAATGCCATTTCAAAAAGCCAAGGGACACAATGCATTATTGTTTTTTCTTGTGACAATCAACAGAAGTGAAAGTTGGTCTTTGAAGAAACAGGCTAAAAAGAATATTGAAATGTTTGAACTTTGGCACTGGAGAAGACTCCTGAGAATACCACAGGGAGCCAAGAAAACAAATGAACATATAAATTGAATAAATTAAACCAGATGATCTACACATGACCAGACTCAAATTATCATGGTTTAGACATATTATGTGATGATCTAGCTCTCTAGAGAAAGCAATAAGGCTGGGAATGATGAAAGAAAGAGGAGAAAAGAATAACCAGCATCAAGTTGCTAGATCTGAAGAAATGGACTGGGATACATCATCTTCAGGATGTTTCTGTGTGATTGATAAAAGTTGATGCTGCCTTTATGGATCATCATCATCATCATCATCAATCAATCAAATATTTATTTAGTACTTGAAAATTTTAATTTACTCCATACCATGTTATAAAAATAGTTCTCAGCACAAAATTATTGGTCAAAAATGCTCTTTAGCAAAAATCTTCAAGTAGTAAATATTTCATATCAGCCAAAGAGATGTTTTTAGCTCAAATCAAGAGATTGATATTTCTCTTTCTTGTACATAACATTCGTTAAAAAGTTTAAACAAGAAGATAAAACAAACTGACATAGTAAGAAAAAATAAAAAAATGAAAGAAAAAAAAGTGTAAAAAAGAAAAAAAAGTTGAAGAAAAGTAGAAAGGAAAGAAAAAATAGAAAAGAGGTGGCTTCTGATATTCTTTGCAGCAATTATAAGTGCAACCCACTCTCTCTCAAGCTACAAATATTACTAAATATGAATAAGAGATTGATATTTGTCTTAATATCTGATAGTTTGAACTTTGTCAGATTTCCCACTCATAGTTCCTTTTATTCTTCTTCATTTTATTAGATATGAAATATTTATAAATAGAAGAATTGGCAGTAGGCATCTGACAGCAGTGTTGTAAAAATCCTAGTTATTCAACATGTATGCAAAGCCAGAAATTTAAAAGGGATTTCTTATTGAAGATGACTTTCAGAACTCTGTCCAAGGCTAAATTATCAAGCCTAAAGTATTGTATTATGAGTGGGAAGATCAAAGGATTTAGCTTGAGAGACACTGATGAATAGATTCAAAAGCATTCCTTTCTTAATATTCTCTATTCTTTATCTAATATTCTAATATTCTTTAATATTCCTAATATCCCATATTCCTTAATTATCTTCTGCAGCATGGGAGTGGATTTTGAATGTTTAATAAATGTTAAATAAAAGTTAATTGATGTTTTCTGAATAATAATGAAATAAATCATCACAAATGGAGAGGGAAAAAAATCAAATCATTGTTGGACAAACCACATCTGTTCTTAATTCATACTTCTGAAGAAAAATGCTGAAATCACATCTTGCATAAGAAAGTGTGGCATTA